GAACATTTATTTTCATTAGAAAAAGCAGTCTGCTAAGAAATTACACAGGTCCAATAATTTAGGACTTTGTGGAGCAAAGCCTTTAGTTCCTTACCTATATGAACTTACAATCAAGTTAGGGAGAAACACAAGTTAGTTTAAAAAGTAGCACATGATTAATTGCCAGGTATTTCAGCCAAGATGATATATCTAAAGCAAATTAAGGACTGGTAAAGAAGAGCTTGTTTCTCAGGAAAGGTTTTCTGTGGAGGACAAGACATGAGTTGAACTTAAAATTATGGGAGAAGGCAGCTAAGTATAGAAGAAGGAAGAAGTTGTAAGAAGAATAAACAGAAAGAGCAGAAGTTCCTAAGAAACCCCAACGCAGTGCTGCGATTATTGTGCAACATAGAAGACTAGAGGGGGAAAATACATAAACTAGAAAAAAAAAAAAACACATTTGACAGGGCAACCAGCAGCAACCTGGAAACCACACAGAAGCAGAGCAAGCAAGTGAAGTGATGAAAGTATTCTAAAAAGCAAACAAAAAATCAAGAACAAGAATCTCCAAAGTGAGTTAAAGAGTATAAAAGCCAGACATCAGAAATGCCAAATCTAAAGGAATATGAATGGGAACAATATTTCAGTGCAGGAGTCATCTGATGCATTTCAAGGCATCCTATAACAAGCAATGCAATGAAGTTCTCATAGTCCAAGTTATGGTTCTTAAATATTATAAATGGTTCTTTGAGTGATAAGATATTCTGATGTTTAGGGTTATCTGTATTTGACCAGTTTGTATGTTTATTTAAAGTGCATTTTGAAGCAATCACTCTAAATAAATCTCTTTCTCCTTGATGTCAGGAGGAACCTCACCTTGATGTCAGCTTCACAGAACATTGTACTAGGCAGGCAATGAGCCAAGTGACTTTTTAATAATTTAAACTACTACGGCTTTGCAAAAGAATGAGGTGTCATGGTCTTGGACAGAGTCAAGTCAGGTAGATTAATAGATTCGCTCTTAAAAAATGAAATCTCACAAAAATATCACTTCACTCACTTTGATGGTATTCTGAAAAATGAGTTAAGCTTCAACTGAAAAAGGTGAAATGAGGAAAATTACCTTAACAGAGGCAAAATAAGAGAGATGAAAAGGATAATTACTTCTAGAAATACTCAACTACATATGCACTTGTCCTTACCAGAGCTGCAATTTTGCCTTTAAATCTACCACCAATCCCACTTTCTTGACTGCCTTTCAATTAACTCTTGTTCTGAACTCTCATCTATGAAGGAGACTGATAGGCAGATGCTAAGAACCATGAACACAGGTTCTGTGGAAAGGTTAGGGATAGTGGAATTCAACAAACATGGCTTTTTAAGTGAACAGGATTCTTCCTTGTGGAGAATAAATAGGCTACAGCTGAAACCAAAGCTAATCCTAAGAAGAAGAGTTAGCACCTGGGAAATGAGACAGAGAAAAACTGTGTCAGGTAATCCTGTAATGAACACTCTGAGGGAGAAAGCACTGACATGTGGGAATTAAGCACAAGAGAATGAGAGAAGCAGAAGGAAGATAAAACAAAAAGGGGCCCAGGATAATCATCAAAAGCAAGTATTGCAGTTCATGAGCTTGCTTTCTGCATCCTGCCTGGACAGTTCTCGTGAAATAAGTCAGCTGAGTTTAAAAATCTTAGGACAACTTAGATCAGCCTGAAGTATACACGTAGGAAAGAAAAGTTAGACTTAAAATTATTGCTCCCCAAATATATGCTATTTCAGCAATCTATGGCTATGGGTACCTTCAAAAGATATTTCATAAATAGGTGGTCCCCAGAAATATGCTACATTTCAGAATATGATGTATCCTGTGAATTACAGAAGTCAATACTTTCACAAATCATCTGCTTGCATTTCCTCGTTTTTCATTTCATCACATAATTTAACATTATGAAGAATTGAACATTTCTTATGTCTTTTCCCAAAATAAACTTAAGGCTATGAGAAACATATATTTGAGTTTGATCTTCCAAATACAAAGTCATATTTTCCATTTCCTGAATCAGAGTTGAACAGTTTTAATATTGCTGATTTCAATTGTGAGCAATTTCTTCACACATTCTCTTACTCTTTGTTTTCCCTACACATGGTGTGCAATGTAGAAAATGCCAACTCAAAGACAAAATCTTCTTAGGTATATTTTATCATATCATTGTTATTATACTTACTCTACACTTTTGTTCAAATTTCCTGTATTAACGTCATCATCTTAAGCTAAGAATTACCTTAGCTCTTTTGGCTATAAGGGATTCCTAATAAAGCACAATTGAAATGCCTAAAAATTAAGCACTTATTAAGCTATAAGTCTGAAGAATTACGAAGGAAGCTGTGGATTAAGTTTCTCAACATTTTCACCGTACAAAGAACATCTGTATAAGGTGCATGGTTGTATTAATGAAATACTCACCACACCATCTTTACAGTAATTATTATCTAGCTCAAACACTGTGACCAGATATTTGCAAATCATCTAAACAGCTATGTGGCTGTAATCTGCTTTGAAAAAATACAAAAGGCAATGAAGTATGAAAGACACAACCTTTATCAGCCACCTCCTTTGTCTTTTATTATAGCACATTGCCAAGTACAACCGTGGAAATTGGAAACTGCTTTGGAAATTTTTCTTGGGGACTCAGAATTGCCAGGTGACCAACAATGAATTTAGTCTTTGAAAATTTGTGAAAAAAACAGGACAGTTAATTAACAACAACAACAAAAAAATGTGAACCAACTCATTTTTATTACTCTGTAAGGGCTAAAAATTTAAAAGGGGAGGATAAAAGATTATGCAGGGACGTGAAATGAAAGACAATGTCACATCCACCAGGAATTCAAAAGTGATCTTCCATGTGCCTGTTTTTAACCTCCAACTACGTTGGCATTTCACACCTCTATATTTGAAATGACTTCCTCTACTACCCAACTACTGTAAAATGACAGTGTGCTACCCATCTCATCAGATGGTGAAGTTCAAACAAGATAAAATATATTAAATGCTGAACACAGAGATTAGCATATAATAGAGTTGCAATGATTTTTAATTCTCCTGTTCCCATTCCTATTTTCCAGTCTCTAGTTTTCTTCTCAAATCAACAAAAAAATATAGCAACAATGTCATAGTTTAGAAACCAGAAACTTCATCAGATTCTGATTTAATCTAAACTCAATAGGGCACCACCAACAATTTACATTCATATTTTCAATGTTTTATATTAGATGTCAGTAAACAATGGCCTGCTGGTTGTTTTGTAAGTCCATGAATTAAGGATGGCGTTTACATTTTAAAGTGGTTAATGCAATCAAAAGAAAAAGTATTATTAGATTGAAATTTCAGTGCATAACTAAAGTTTTACTGGAATCCATTCAACACTCGTTTATGTATCTGCTATGGTTTCTGTTGCACTACAAAGGCAGAGTTGTCTCAGTAAGAGAGAGATTATATGGGTCACAGAACTTAAAATATTTACATCTGGCCCTTTACAAAAGTTTCCTGACCCCTGCATCAGATTAATGCCAATAGAGAAATGAATAAGAATTATTCATGAACTAGCTAGAACTATTCATGAACTAGTCCCAGACATTGATGTGAGGTGTGATGGCAAAATCATAATAGTCCAAAAAATAGACTGATTATATAATAATCCTAATATTAAATTTTTGAATACACAGGGTAATAATTAGGAAGAGGACATAGGTCTTATGAATAATAAATAATTTCTAACTTTCATTTATTAAAATTTTATTTAAGATAGGGAATGATTCATTACAAAAGTCACACAGAATATTAGTATATCATGATTAAATTCCCAACAACTTAAAGTTGTGTTTAAGTTTAAAATGTACCTAAATACTTATGACTTAGGTCAAAGAACTCAGGGCTTAATGTTACTGATCTAAAACTTTCTTGGATGACTGATACAATAAAATTTCTTTTATTAAAAGTCATTAAAAATATAGAATCAGAATGAGTGAAAGATAATGAAGTGACATTGAGAGATCCTTAATACAATTTTCACATTTGTCCCTTGCATGCTTTTAGGTAAAAATTAAATGCATATTTAAAAAGGTTGGTAATTATATGCAATTTTTTTTCCTTTCTAAAATAATTTTAACATGTGCAATATTTTGATAAATTTCTTCTTTTAACATAAACTATGGTCATGATTTTATTTATGGATATCTCTATTTCTTCATAAAAATTTAAAAATCTAATAAATATCTTAAAATTCATGCTTCTAAAACTTGAATGTGAACATGAACCACCAGGAGTCCTGTTTACAAATGTAAGTGCTGATTTAGTAGCTCCCAGGTGATCTGACCACATAGTGAGGACTAAATAATACTGGCTTGTAACCCGGAGACAAAAAACAGCATGGTTTTGCTTGAAATTTATGATTTTGCCCCTAATACTTTGTATAATTTCAGAATAAAATTGCCTCCTTTTGTGTCTGACTTGGAGATTTCAGCAACTCACTAGAGTGTTTGGAATTTGAAAATGTTAACAATTTCATATTTTAACAACAACCTTTCTCCCATTCAGAAAGCCAAATCCAGATTTCAGCAATGTTCTTTGTGTTCCTCTGTAGTCCTCAGTTCTTTCCATATTCATTATATTTCTTATTTGTAAGAAAGTATGGAAATTTGGACAATGGAGGTGAAATGTAGATATGTTTTCATTGGGTATTATTAAAAGTTACTAATGGAAAGAAAAGTAAAAATCTTTGTTAGGAATGACAGCCCTAGTCCTCTAATCTTTTCTAATCTCTATTAAATGTCAAGGAAAAATAACTTTGAGAAAAACAGAGTTCTAAATAAAAATTGAGCAATCAGTAATAACTCCCCAAAATGACCACTCATTCTCTCAATCCACAATGCCAGGCTCTCCGGGATTTGTGAAGTGCCTCTCACTTCTGTGCCTTTACACGTTCCCTTTAAGTAGGGTCTTGAACACCCCTACTTACCTATATGAGTCTCACTCATCTCCTTGAAGATCTTATCCCACGCTTCAGTAAGATTCAGATGCTTTTCCATCATCTCCCCTATTTCTTTGTTTCAGCACTTACGTGATTCCTGGAATTGTTCACAACAGACATTGTGAGACGATATCTTGTAGTTTTGATTTGCATTTTCCTTTGTTAGGCAAAAATGAGTATTTTTCCATGTGCCCATTGGCCATTTGTATGTCTTCTTTGGAGATGTATTCACTTAACTCTTCTACCCATTTTTTGAGTGGGTTGTTATCGTTGTTGAGTTGTGTGAGTTCTTAGCAGAGCTTGGATATTAGTCTCTTGTTGGATGTATATTGTAAATTATTTTCTCCCATTCAGTAGAGAGTCTTTATGTTTTTATGATAGTTACTTTTGCTATGAAGGAGACTTTTAGCTTGACTTAGTCTCACATGTTTATTTTTGGTTTTGTTTCCCTTATTATTGGAGTCCAGTCCCCAAAGATATCACTGAAGCTGATGGCATGGAGTATTTTTATATATATTTTATAATTTCAAGTTTTACATTCAAGTCTTTAAACCATTCTAAGTTAACTTTTTTTTTTAAAGATTTATTTATTTGTTTATTTATTTATTTATTTATTTATGCAAGCACTGGGTACAGTCAGAAGCGCGGGAGGGAGAGAATTCACCAGAGCCACAGCGGGGAGCAGAGCAGGCAAAAGGACCGAAGTACACTGCTGAGGGGAGCAGCGGGCGGCAGGAGAGGTCTGGGCGCCATGCGGGACCCTCCCCTGGTGGCCGGAGAGGAGCCGGGGATCGAACCGGCGCAGCAGAGGCTGTGGGCAGCTTCGCAACCCAGCGCTCAACCGCTGCGCCACCGGGGAGGCCCCTAAGTTAACTTTTGTGTATAGTATAAATGGTCTATTTTCTTTCGCATGTAGTTATCCTGGGTACCCATCACCATCTCTTGAAGAGACTTTCCTTTCTCCATTTTATGCTCTTAGCTCCACTGACAAAACTAGCTATCCATTTAAGCGTGGGTTTATATCTGGGCTCTCAATTTTATCCCATTGATCTGTGTGTCTATTTTTTATTCTAACACAATACTGTTTTTTTAATTGAAATATTTTATTTTATATAATTCTTACATCTTTTTTCATCTTTGCACAATGCATGCATTTTCATTTTGGTTATATTCCCCATACAATTGCACCTCCCCCCTTATTTTGACTCTAGTCCTTCCTTTTCTCACCCCTACCTCCCCTCCCACCCCCCTGTAGTGTATCTGGTTTATAGTTGCTTGTTGATTTTGATTTTTACTTTGTATTGATTAGTCTTTTTTCCTGGTCTCTTATTTAGGTTTTCTAAATTCCTGCTATGAGTGAGATCATTCGGTATTTTTCTTTTTCTTTCTGACTTATTTCACTGCGCATGATCCACAATACTGTTTTGAGTAGAATTTTAGTATAAATTCAAATACTCTACAATTTTTTTTACTACTATTAAAGAATAAACAATTTTTTAAAGATTTATTTATTTGTTTGTTTGTTTGTTTGTTTGTTTATGCAAGCACTGGGTACAGTCAGAAGCTCAGGAGGGTGAGAGAATTCACCAGAGACAGAGCGGGGAGCAGAGCAGGCAGATAGACGAAATACACTGCTGAGCGGAGGAGTGGGCGTGGCAGGAGAGGTCTGCGAACCTTGTGGGACCCTCGCCCGGCAGCCAGGAATCAAACCAGTGCTACAGTGGCTGCGGGCAGCTTCACAACGCAGCACTCAACCACTGCGCCACCGGGGAGGCCCAAGAATAAACACTTTTTAAACTAAGTTTAATTAGAGCTAAATAAAATGTCAATCTAAAAGTCAATCTGAATTATTGCTAATTTTGTTATGGTATGTCATGACATACCATGTCATGTAATTTTAAAAAGTATGTCTTTAGGGGCGCAGCGGTTGAGCGCTGGGTTGCGAAGCTGCCAGCGGCCTCTGCGGCGCCGGTTCGATCCCCGGCTGCTCCCCGGCCACCGAAGGAGGGTTCCACAAGGCGCGCAGACCTCTCCTGCCGCCCGCTGCTCCCCTCAGCGTGTACTTCGGTCCTTCTGCCTGCTCTGCTCCCCGCTGTGGCTCTGGTGAATTCTCTCACCCTCCCGCGCTTCTGACTGTACCCAGTGCTTGTATAAACAAAACAAACAAACAAACAAATAAATAAATAAAACATGCCTCTATTAAAAAAAAAAATGTCTTTAAATGGAAAAGGTATGGAACATCAATGGATTCTGAGGTGGTTAAAAAATATAGGTATCAACAGAAATTTATTAAGCACCAGTGCTAACTGGACCAGGGAAAATGATGAGAATGCAAGTACAACACCCCAGGTATCACACACTAACTAGTGAAACTCAAGTGGGATGCTGAGATTTTGTTTCAAACTATAAGGATTCTAAGCTTTCCATTCAAGCATGGCAAGGCTATCTCTTGTTAGTGAGAGAGTGGACCATAGGCTTATCACTGTGCTAGATTCAGACTATCCTAGTCACAATTTGCATGTATCAATTCACTGAATCCTCGTGATTATGTAGCAGGGAGTATTAATTTTAGCATCTTTATTTCACAGATTAGGAAACTTGGTCACAGAGCATGTGTCAGGGGAGTTGAACTTGGGCTATCTAGTTTAAGAGTCCGGCCTCCTTGTGACAAGCCTCCCTTGCTCTCCTTTAAGGCAATGAGACAGTAACATTCTAAAATGCTTTCAAATAGCAGCATTAAGAAACCATACTTGTCCTGTTTTTGGTTGTACTCCTACTGTATATGACATTTTTATTATTAGAGTGGTTAAGTTCATCACTAAAATTGCACTGAATTTATAATATCGTTACTATCAGCCTTAAAATAATATTATATTGCCATTTAGTTAAACCAACTTGATCTGTCCATTTTTCTGAAATGGACAGATTTAGGCATGTACAAAAACACATAATCAGAGCACTTAACAATGAATATGCTTTGTTACTAAACATTTTATTGAATACCTGAGAATGTGTGCATTATCCCCACAAGCGAAAGGCCATATTTTTGTTTACATTCTAATAATTGTTGGTATAATTTATAATATCCTAGAAACTAACAGGTTTTTATCACACTATGTAAAAATTATAAGATTCAGGTATATTTGGCATTTGAAGTTGTGTGTTCTTACTAAGCTCATGTTATATATGTAATTCTTGCAAAGTTAGATTGATTTTTGTTTCAAACAGTTGAGATTATTAATATTTTAAAGGTTAAACTTATAACTTATTACACTAAATTTGTATATTGCTCTAAGAAAAAAACATAATTGTACCATTTATAAATTAGTGCTTCCAATTTCCTAACGTGTTGTCTTTATAAACAGTTATTTTGTACACACAGGAGATATTATTTCATTTTAATTAGGTTATTTAAATTCTCAACCATTAAGGAAAACAGTTTTAGGGTATAAAGCATGTTTGTCATAGCTGTAGCTGATTTTTTTTCACCTAATAAATACAATAAAAACTGGGCATCCAATTTCCTAGTGTTTTAAGCCTAATGACCATAGAAAGTCCTAGATCGAATAAATATGTGATGAACATCTATGTTACATTTATTACATTATATGTTCAACATTAAAAAAGAATGTGATCTCAATAATTGTAAGGGTGATGATGATTATCGACACCTAGTCCACAGTAGTCACTCAGTAAATATTTATTGAAGAATCAATAAATAAATGCCTTGAAGCTAGTACTTTATATGCCAGACATTGTTCTAAACACTTAGAAGTATCAAAACATTTAATTTTACTAATATTTCTATTATTTTCATATTTTTTCACAAGAGGAAATTAGGTCTTAGTGAGGAAATAACTTCCCAATGTCACATAACTCTCAATTAGCACCACTGAGTTTCCAAGCCAGTTTTGTCTTTACACCAGCAATAGCTAAGTCAGACTTACATACAGCAAAGTCTACTAAAAGCTGGTGTGATGGTATGTTCACAGACATGTAAACAGGTGTTCTGATAACAAAAAAGGAGTTTTGCTTTGTTTTTTCCTGATACTATGGAACGGAAAATACGTTACAGCTGAGTTTCCTTCACAGTTGCATCTAAAAGCTCAACCACCAAAGAACAGAAAAAGAACTTTTAGGGTAAAGGGGGAAAGGCCAGCATAGTTGTCTACTCAGGCAGTGATGAATAGATCAATCAGTCTACAGCAATCAGAGTGAAAATGACCCTAGTGAGACCTGGAAGAAGAAAAGTCTTAGAGAATCAGATCAAGGGACCCTACCTTCTATGGAAAGACAATGAGATTTACCAGTCAGGCAGTGCAAAGTAATCAAAGTCACTTAGGCAAAGAAGTGATAATGCTAAATAACCAATCTCACCATGCTCCTGCATCCCCCACGATCCATTTATTTTTAACTTGAAGACTTTTTTTTCATTTTATTTTTTTAATATTTTATTTTATATAATTCTTACATCATTTTTCATTATTGCACAATGTATGCATTTTCATTTTGGTTATATCCCCCAAACAATTGCACCCCCCCTTATTTTGACCCTACTCCTTCGTCTCCCCGCCATATTTTAAGAAAGGCAAATCACCTTGGCAATCTGTATAACTAGCCCAATCAAAACATTACAAGAGTATGTTTTAATTCACAGATATTAGTGCTCTTGCACTTTTACTTTCTGCCCTATCACCCAACTAGATCTTCAAGTCCCTATTCCTTTCTTCTGCTAGGGCAACAAAGAGGAACAGTCAGTTGTATTAGCATTCTCCAAAGAAACAGAACAAGTAGCATAAATATATACATACACACATAAATATTTACATATGTTTTATATATATATAAAACATATAAAGTTATTATAAGGAATTGGCTCATGCAATTATGGAGGCTAGGAAGTCCAAAATCTGCAGGCTAGGCAAGCAAAGACCCAGGAGAACTGACAATGCAGATGAAGTTAAAAGGCAGCCAGAGAACTTGCTCTTGCTCATGGAGTCTGGTCTTTTATTCATGGAACTGGTGTTCTATTCTTGTCTTCAACTGACTGG